AGCCAGTAATGGGCTCCTGGGTAGGCTTAAAGAGGTGGGGGGGGCAACGTCAAAAATTAACTAAAACTTTAACTCTATTCAGACTGGGGGGGCTTATGATGTCACGACTGTTACCATGGATACAAAACGAACCACAACATCACAGGAGAGATATGATATGATATTTAACTGGTTATCTAGATATAGATATATAATTTATAAAAATTACCTGATATCTATGACGTCATTGTGACGTCATATAGAACAGGGGTCAATTGAAAAATACAAAAATATTATTTTCAAGTAATTTCAATAATAAACAGATGATGTGCAGCATTCTCTATGGAATTGTAGGCAATTTATTAAAATGAATTATAAATCGTTAAAATGGTACAAATGACGTCATTATGACGTCACATTTGGTCCCCACGGTTCAAGACTGGGCGTGGTGGCTCGTTTTCCATTGTGTGAAAATTTCATGCTCATAGACCTATTGGTTCCGAAGATATTGAGGGGGGGCCGAATGAGCCCCCACCGCCAGTCACAGATTGAAATCTGAATAGGGTTAACTGGAAACTAAAAACTCAACGGTGTCAGATTCTGCGTGCTCTTTGGCCGAATACTTATTGAAGTGGAAAACTTCTCGACAACTCTTTTCACGAATAATATATAAATCCCCATAATATCAATAAAAATAAATCGGATCTCGTCAAAATAATAACAGTAAATATGCAGAGAATATAAGCCATGCAAAAATATATGCAATTGCCCTATCTATTTCATATGACGTCACATTATAACACTTTAACGCTAAGGAATATGGTCGCCAGAGTGGATCAGAGATTGACTGCATATCAAATAAAATGTACAACAATCTTCGATGCATGACATATTAAAACATCGAAGTCCTGATTTTTTCCACTACTGGGTCCAAATTTCGACTGTCTCTGAGAAAGTAAACATACTGTGCCGTCATAATGAATAGAGCAATTGTCCAATTGTTTTTGTTCCCACATATTTGAGTTTTTCTTTAAAAGATTTTTTTTGGTGAAACAAACTTTTAACTGAATTGAATGGTGTGTTTTTAAAAAAAACCCAGTGATGTCTACCGAGACGGCAGGCTCCTTGTATACGGACATGGCCGAAGACTCCAGTTCAGTTCCGCACTTTCGAGACATATTATAGAATGCCGGGTCCGTTGAACTATTTATACTTCTAGATACCAAAATAGGCCTTGAGATACGGCGCCCCAAAGTTAGTGTAGCCAATCCCTTTTGTTTTCCTTTCCCTGGATGATAAAACAAAATTGGCTCTGCTATGTAAACAGGGCCATTGTGACCAAGATCCGAATGCGGACTTCACGCGTCATAACTTTAATTTAAAACTTGTCGCCTCTTGGGAATAATGGACAAATAATTAGTATTAGTTTAAACAAAAAGGTCCAAAAGAATTTTTGCCCTACACGCTCTGACAGACTTATTCGCAAAACACTAAGCAGATTTGACCAGCTCGACCTGGAAAAAAATCTTGAACTCGAGATAAGATAGGGGCAAGAGCATTGCACACTCAGTAATAACAATTACACAAACGCTGTTCGAGGGAGACAATCAAGTCGAAGACTCGAAGACTCAAAATGTTTCTCATTAGTTGTTTTTCAAAAGCACTCTTGCTCCTAGCCGTCTGTCAAGACTTAGGAATGTTCTTTGTCAATGGCAAGTCGCGTCTTAAAGAAAGCAGAATCCAGGCAGTGCGAGGCCAAATACTCACAAAACTGGGACTGACATCTCCTCCTGACGAAGGTGCAAGAGTACGGCCAAAAAGAGAGGAATTAGAAGCATTTAAGGCTGTCAGAAATGAAGCTTTTCAACATCAAAACGTAGACGAAAACTGCATACGCAATGACAAAAGTGCCAGCTACTTTGCTAAGAGTATTGTAAGTCTTCATTTGGTGCAGCGGACAGGGAAGACCATACAGTATGAAGGTTAGAAACCATTTTAACTTACACTGATATGCGAGCATACAATTTTGGCTTGACTACGTTTGTATTAGTTGCATTGTACTTTAATTATCATTTCTTGGCTATTTATTGGCTCGCTTTTGATGAACCTACAACCATTATAAAAGGCCAGAACCAAACAATATGTGTTAATGTTTTTCAAGGTGGGACTCAACTACTGAAAAGCTGATTTTGCTAAAACTGGGCCTTGATAATATGGCCGAGAATAATTTCATGATTGCCTAAGGCGACTCAGCTGGGTAATTTATTAGTGACGCAACGTTCATGTTTTATTTTGAAATGCGTCTTGGCATGCCAATAAAAGATCACACCAACACTACAAAAAGATGAATGCGCATTGTAAATTAAAAAAAAATCAACACGATTAGACTTAATTTTTGATGAATGCTCAGAGATTATTTTTTAAACTCTCATGAGTCAAAGTTGATCAATTATGTATTTTAAGTCGTTCACACTTGTTTCCTTGAATCTCTATGCGATGAAAAAATGTATTTTTACAAACAATTGATTTACTAAAATTTAATTCTAATTCGTAAGTAATAAAAAAGCTTTCTTCGATTTCATTAACATTTCAGATACAGATTCCAGTCTTATTCCTCGGTTTCACGTTGAGTCATCACCGCCATGTTGGATGACGAATACAAAGCATTCCTCATTAGTTTCGCTTGTTCATTCATCCAACATGGCGGCGATAGCTTTGTTCTTTATTCTCGAGGGATTCTTGATGATGTGGTTGAAATCCACTGCAGATTTTTTAACTTCTGTTCAATATTTAAAAAAAGAAATCTTTATTGAAACTTTTGATAATATTTTGTTTGAATTTCACCCTAATTTTTTTTGAATTTAAGTAATCCTGTTTTCACGACAATCTAAATTTTTCAGTTATCAGAAAAACGTTTCCAAAATTAAAAATACACTACGCCACTATTGTTCGGGATCTGGGTTACTTTAGTCATCAAGCCTTGCTTCATTTGTCTAGTACAAAGACTTTCAATTTCAATAACTTATCTATTCAATGGAATGATAAATTCATAATAGCGGATAACGACCCAATGATGTCAACAGTGAGTTTAGACTTCCTGCAGTCGGCAGAGAATGAATGAAAGAAAAAAAAACGACCGGCAAGAATCTATGATAAAAAAAATTCTAAGTAACAAAATAAGAATTCCGCGAAACACAAACAAGACAAACAAGGTCTTCGAATATAATGCATGATCGGATTTCGCAAGTTTGGTAAAGGCCTAGACAATAGAAATGCTTGATTACAAAGTCAACGCAAAACCCGATCTAGCGGCGTAAGAGTTGAAAAAAAGCATTCTGATATTCTCAAATATTTTGATTGCCGCAACCACAAAAGTCATAAATTAAGGTGAGGCTGGATTTCGAATAACTTCAATCAAAGGAATCGAAAGCTTTTCAGTCTTTCAGAAAAGTTACCTGAAATATTGAGCAGAACCTCTAAATGCGCAGTAAAAACAATTAGATCAAAATTTATTCCTACCAACATTACACGGCTTGATTTCACTGAGTGTTGGCACACGACAGATTAAAATTGTTTTCTAAGCTTCCCTGATTTGAAACAGTTATTTTGTATTTCTATGTTAATAAAGCTGAGATATCAGTTTTTCCTCAAAAGCGCGCGAATACAGCGAGAAAAAAACTTCTCTCTGACGACATATATCTCAGTAACCAATATTGACAAAAACATTTTCTCAGTACATGAATGTCAACAACGAACTCTTAACAATGACAGAAATTTACAAATTGCCCATTTACAATTTCCTAAGATCCGGTAATACCTTAAGAATTCAAGGAAACAAGGGAAACAACTTGAAGCTCATCAATCGATTTTGGTTCATAAGATTCAATGAAGTTTTACGCTCAAAATAATATTTTTAGAATCATAATCAACAATCGTTTATTAATAGGTTTTAAAAACTCCGATCATTTTAAATTTTGATGCAAAAGAATCATTCATCTTTATCTAGTCTCACTAAACAATGAAAACAAAATTCTTGGACATATGATATGTTGCATCTCATGTAGAGACGCATCTCTCGAACAACATGGACTAGGTATGTCAAAGGCTCCACCCAGTCGAGTCGCCTTAGCTCTGGTTTCATAAGAGTTGTTGAATGTTGAATGCGTTAAGAGTAATTGAATGGTGAATGTGAATCTCGACCAACAGTGTTCTCAAGATGTAAAATCAAATCAAAATTCCTCAAACTTTGTATAAAAAAATAGATATCGATGTTTTTTTATTTCGATCTATCAATCACTTCCATCGGTAACTTTCACTTCATTTGAAGCCTCACGGATCAGCGAACCATTCAAAATATTTAAAAACACTTTCAATGTTTTAACGTTTTAACTTAAAAGTGTTTTCAATTCATCAATAGTCTCCTTCACGGTTACCTGCGCCATCTTGAAAGGTACCCGTGCCTTTGCATCGAAGCGAGACAACCGTTGAGCGTGCAATGATAGAAACCTGTGAATAATTGTCTGTAGGTGTGAAAGAAGGTTTTTATTATTGCACATCCACGGTTGTCTCGCTTCGATGCAAAGGCACGGSTACCTTTCAAGATGGCGCAGGTAACCGTGAAGGAGACTATTGCAACTTTGAAGTAGCTAAATTCTAGCTTTATATCCAATCCCTTATCCTTTGGTTTAGGAAAGGATGGGAAAATGCCATGGAATCGGCTGCTGGAATTTCATATTTGATTGACTAAGATGATTTTCGTTATTTATACTCATAAAGYTTTAGGTTTATAACAATCTCAGCTTATAATAACAGTTTATTTTAATTAGGTTTATAATTATCATTATTATATGATCATGTATGTCGGAGCCTGGAAGCGAGTATAAATGGAGTGATCTGGTTTTGTTGATGTCGATTTTTCTCCTGTATAGATTTTCTTTGGTAGACGGCCATTCGCGCCTCTCTACTAACCGTGTTTTAAATTTTTGCAAACTGATATTTAAATTAACACGTAAAAACATACCGAAAGCACAATTAACAACACAGAATTTTAACTTGGCGCTATTTCTAGTGACCAAAAACAAAAGACGGATTTTTAGTATTATTCAGACGAGATTGGCTAGTCCGTAGAAAGCGTARATGATTTAAACTGCTTGAAAATTTTATTTTCGGTGCTATCTTTGGATAACTTTTTAACCAACAATAAAAGTAGCAATATAATAGAGCTCTGATTAAGCGAGTTTGCTTGTTCTAGACAGAAAAAAGCAATATCTTAGTCAGTCGACCGACCCGACTAGACCTCACGCTCGGCTAATAAGACCTAAATATAACACATTGACCCGCTGAGCAAGATTTCATCAAGAAAAACAATCTGTACACTATTTTTAAAATGGAAAAAAAAAATGATTTAGCCTTATCTCAGGTGAATCGCTTTGTTTTTTCATTTGAGACAATCAATGTCTTTTGGTCGATTTAACTGTTTTTTCTTAAGAYTGAGGCTTAATACAACTTTCCAGCATGGTTTGAGGACAACTACATTCTGTAAAACATTCATTCGTGAGATTGAGATAAAGCTGTTTTTTAGCAAAAATATATTTGACAGGTCGTTTTGGATTTAATTAACACAGTTAAAATTATTGCCTTTTTATTTGATGTTTATCCTTGAGAATGTACTCCATGAAACAATGAAACTTCTTTGCTGTTTAATTTACTTTGAGCGCGTAGTTGATATCGATGATGATGTTTTTTGGAGGAGCCGACGGAAAATATATCTGCTCTTATGTCCAAGCCAAAAAAATGCATTTTTAAATGCATTTTTAAAAAAATGTACAAGGAATGTATTTTTTGACAACGAAAGCACTATCATTGCATACACGTACGTGCACGGTTTGATCCATTCTTATCTACAGAATTTTGATAAATTGAAAAAAGTAGATATTGAGGTCAATCCTCCTTCAGTTGTTATTGCTGAGGCAATGAAACGCTTCCGGAACAAAGATAACCCATTCGTCTCACGATTACAATTAAAGTGAGAATTGCAAAAGTGTCGAAGAAAATGAAATGTGGCTGCAATATCC